GTAGGTGTGCGTAGTAATAGTAGTAGTAAGCAGTGGACAAAATACACGGGGGCGGCTGGCGATTTCGCCACCGAAATGCCAAAAAGAGCCCCCGAAAACATGTTATTGGGGGCGACGCCAAAAGAAAAAGTTGCCCTGGAAATCGATTGTCCAGGTCGGTCCCGCGCCTTGCCGCTCTCGCTCGGCGTTGCTGCTCTGCGATGCCTAGGCCTCTGCCGCTAGCGGCAGCCGGTTCCACGGCGCGGTAGAATTCATGGTATGGTGTGACTGTCAAGTGTTTACCATGTAAGCATGCATGTGTGTACTGTACTGTATTGCATTCAATCAAGCGCACGCCGCCGCCCGCGCGTATATACGTGTGTGCCTGTGCGTGCGCTTGCGTGTGTGCCTGCGCATGTGCGTGCGTGCATGCGTGCGTGCGTGCCTGTGTGTGCCGGTGTGCCTGCGGGCATGCTTGCGTGTGTGCCTGCGTGCGTGCATGTGTGCACGTGCGTGCGTGCCTGCGCGTGTGCCTGCATGCATGCCTGCGTGTGTGCGGGTGTGCCTGCGGGCGTGCCTACGTAGACCCGTAGGACCAACGACCCGTAGGATTATAGAACGGTAATCCATGGAAAATCCTAATGAAATTCACACGTATATTTTTAGCTGAACCTGTGATGTATCAGGCCCGTAGCCAGCTTTGTATTGGGGGGGTTCGTTTTTCAATGTTGGCAATTTGCTCAGCAGGGGCGTGTACAGGATTTGTACCAGGGGGGGTCTAACCGTAACCCGAAGTTGCGAGCACGCGAAGGGGGGGTCTGGGGGTCTTAAAATTTTTTAAATTACACCCCCTCAGATGCGTTTTCTGCGCGAGCAAGGTGGGGTCCGGACTCCCTGGACCCCCCCTGTACACGCCCCTGCTCGGGCGCGATGCAACCAGGCGAGAGAGCCAAGCGACCGAGCGGGGGGAGGGTGCGGGAGGGGGTGTTCACTGTTCACGCTCCCGCACGATGGAGATTTTGCAATTATTACACTAAAATGGAGCGACCTGAGGTGAAATTCTTGCAAATTTAAAAAAAAAATTTTTTCGTTTTAACCCCCCGAACCCCCCCTGGCTACTGGCCTGATGTATTCACTATTCAAGGTGCATTTGTGGTTGTGACTTGTGAGTTGTGATTATCATGTTAGTCTGTCAGTCTGATGAATAACTGTCTTGAATATTGACTGAATGTTCTTTGTTATTCTACAATATTAATATGACAAAAAGAACAAATATGACATAAATATATAAATAAATAAATATGTATATATATATATATATATATATATATATATATATATAATATCTTTATATGTATTATAATATCTTTCACTCCGGCACTCAATGCACACAGCAAACCATCACATAGCAAAAGTTTACCCCTGTATATGCCCGAAGCCTGTCACAAGCTCAGAGCTGTATTTCGCCTTGAACGAATGGAATGCACTGCCATCCAAGATTCTTGCCAAAACCTATACCACACCAACACACATAACAGAGAGTCAAGTCAGCCCTAGTGATAGCTGCAGACACGTCCAAAACCGCAATTCAAGGTCACCAATTTGCAGATTCTTGGTGTGGTGTTAACTCATTAGTGATTCTACATTTGGTGGAACTCATGCACTACTTAAAGCGTCCACCTACGCATTGTTACTGTATAGCACATCTTAATATAACAATGACTTCCATGTTAATGGAATGCAAATATCAGTATGCAGTATAAATATGCATCTGGAAATAGTGTGTCATGCCACAGCATCTATCTGTAGTACCAGGTGTCTGTCAAAACAGTGCTCAAGATACTGTGTGAAAACAGTATCTGTATCCATGTATAGTATGTGATACTACGACTGATCCATAGTCAGTCATTACTGTCTGCCCAACCGCCAGCCTGCTAGCCTGACAGTGTCCCGCATGCTTGGTGGCCATCCACCCATCTGTACATCACTGTGCACCAATCTTCATTTGTCTGCATGCTTGGTGTTCATCCATCTATCTGTACATATGTATGCATGTGCCCCCATCTGTCTGCATGCTTGGTGTTCGTTTATGCAATTTCACCCATGTACTACGGCACATGCACCTTGTCGACGTGAATCGGTGAGTTTTTGGAGTCGGGCGCGAGGGCAGCTAACTCGTCGCTGGCATACAGTGGCTCCTCCCAGTGGCGGTTATCCACGGCCGGCGACTCCCTATTCAAACACGCGATGCTGTCCCGGAGCATTTCGAATCCCTCTTCCTCGTCCCGCGCGAAGTAATCCGCACAGCCACTCACTCTGTAAGAGTCGGAGTACAAGTGTGAGCACGACGACGCCCCGTTCTCTCTAAGGCTCTAAGCAGTAGGTCAATAAGACTAAGACTAAGACTAATACATAAACAAGTGTATGATAATAACATGTAATATGATAATAACATGTGATATGATAATAACATGTAATATGATAATAACATGTAATATGATAATAACATGTAATATGATAATAAACGTTGCGATCTGTCCTAAATAATATACAGGACAACTACCCAGTGTGGAGCGTGGCGCCACCTAGCTCCTCTGGGGTGACGACCTCGCCGAGAGCTGCGCGGACGAGCGGCGGACCGGCGAGGAAGATCGTGCCGATGCGATCAACTATGATCGTGTCTGTAGCCATCGTGGGAACGTAAGCAGCGCCGGCAGTGCAGCTGCCACACACCATCGTCACCTGAAACACCGCAGCATTCGCATGATGATTGTGTCTATTGTGGGAATGTATGCATGTGCTGCGCGGACCAAGACCGCGACAACTGGTGATCGCACTCGCATAAAGACAGCAGACTGTCAATACTAACTGTGCAACAATATTAATCCGAAATACCATGTGGGAAAAAATGTGGAAAAATAGGAAATTTAATGAGTTTCACTGTTTTTTCCCCCTACAAATAACAGCACAGGTCTTTGTGACGAGAGCACACACTATAGCATCATCATCACCAAAACCATACCTCTATTGCAAACCTTAACCCTACACCTAACTCTTAAGTAATCCCAACTAAATCATTAGGAACTGGGGTCCTTATGTAGATGTAACCCTCAAAAAACTTTCACAGGACTGCGATGACCTAGAGCCACAGTGGTTAGTGGCAGTGTGTGGAGGCTTACCTGAGCGATATCCATGGAATTCATCACAGCCTGATTGTAGAAGGTTTGGCCACCGGTCTCCGGAAAGATATCTGCCTGACAGAAGCAACGGGAAACGTTTTTATAAACCGAGTTTCTTGCCTTTAAATCTCGGTTGTAAGACTATCAGCATCTCTGTATATCCGCTCGTCTGTACATATGCCTGTACATACCTGCAGGGGCAAAAATGCACCTCCACTGTCTATAAGGTATATACAGGGCAGTCTCAACTCCTTTGCGATCTCCTGCATCCTCAACTGCTTCTTCACTGTGATTGGATACACTGTACCACCCTTGACAGTGGCATCGTTTGCGACTATCATAACCCATGTGTTGCTTACTCGCCCAATCCCTAAAGAAAGAAATTGCTAGATTTAAATCCAAACTTCGGTTGACGTTACTTACAAAAACTAATGGCGGAATATGGCACAGATGGGGATAAAATGGCATCCAAGCACAACCCCCAAACCAAAACAGTGCTCTCTCGATCAGAAGAGTGTGACCGTGAATTTAAGGAGTAGGTGTGCGTAGTAATAGTAGTAGTAAGCAGTGGACAAAATACACGGGGGCGGCGCATTTCGCCACCGAAATGCCAAAAAGAGCCCCCGAAAAACATGATATCGGGGCGACGCCAAAAGAAAAAGTCGCCCTGGAAATGCATTGTCCAGGTACGTCCGCGCCTTGCCGCTTTCGCTCGGCGTTGCTGCGGCTGCGATGCCTAGCCCTCTGCAGCTAGCAGCAGCGCCGGTCCACGGCGCGGCGTAAGAAATTCATGGTACGGTGTAAACTGTCAAGTTTACCATTTAAGCATGCATGTGTCACTGTACTGTATTGCATCAATCAAATCGCACGCCGCCGCCCGCGCGTATATACGTGTGTGCTGTGCCGGCTTGCGTGTGGCCTGCGCATGTGCGGCGTGCCTGTTGGTGCCGCTGTGCCTGCGGCATGCTTGCGTGTGTGCCTGTGCGCGTGCGTGCGTGCGTGCCTGTCGTGTGCCGTGTGCCTGCGGGCATGCTGCGTGTGTGCCTGCGTGCGTGCGTGCGTGCCTGCGCGTGCTGGCCTGCGTGCGTGGCGCGGGTTGTGCTGCGGGCGCCTACGTAGACCCGTAGGGACCAACGACCCGTAGAATTATAGAAGCGGTAATCATGGAAAATCCTAATGAAATTCACACGTATATTTTTAGCTGAACTGTATGTATTCACTATTCAAGGTGCATTGTGGTTGTGACTTGTGAGTTGTGATTATCATGTTAGTCTGTCAGTCTGATTAATAACTGTCTGAATATGACTGAATGTTCTTGTTTGTCTGTACAAGCTTGCTAATTGGTGTATGTGTGCGTGTGTGGTGTGGGTGTGTGTGTGTGTGTGTGTGTGTGGGTGTGTGTGTGTGCGCTGCACCCACGAGTGGTATTAGCTACTGCTGTGTATATATTTGAAGAAACAGCCCTGGAAAAAAAGTCGCCCTGGAAAGTGGAAAAAGCCTGGGAAAATGAAAAAGTAGCCCGCCGAAATTTTGGGCGGTTTTGCAAAAAAGCCCGGAAAAAAAAAATTTTAATGTCTTATTTATATAGAACAGATACCACAGCATAGAATGCACTCATGTAATCAAGACTGATTAAAAAAAACATTTATAGTTGCCATTTCACTAACAGACGTGTGGGTTCGATACAGAAACAAGCAATCGATAAATCGGCATATTTGTGCTCACGATGCCTTACTAAAATCTACTCTGAGCTGCTAGCTCTGCTACGAGACTGGCTGCTGTGCTGGCTAGCTGCTACTGCTGCCACTTCCACTGCCACTACTACATAATAATACTAATACCACTAATTATTATTTACTACTACTACACCATAATATAATAATAAGTCAATCATATAGTCCAACTAAGTGAAAGCAGCAACGCGCAAACACACCTGAGGACCATGCCGGCGCGTGCACATCCCCATAGTCCATGTCGACCCAGCGATGCTGCTAGTCTAGAAAGCCTCGCTGGTCATCGAGAGCAGCCTGCAGGCGTCTCTAACGAGCCAGCTTTCCTTGTTGACCTCTGTGTGCCGTTGACGCATCTCTTCGCCGCCGCCTGCGCACACATGTCCACCAGCTGGCGCCACTGCTTAAGCCTAGCAACTGGCTCCTTCGTGAAGAGGTTCCCAGTACGGCTTAGAGACGTCGTCTACTCTGCCATCGATCACTCGAATTTGCTCCTGCGGGAAAGGCCAATGAGCAGCCGGTGACCGTTACGTGCACATGCCACATGCTTGTGCACGCAGGGCACGCACACACGCAACACAACACACACCAGTCACGTGTGAACACAGCGACCACATTTAAAATTAGGCTCGGCCCAGATAGTTTACATACAGATATTGAAACCATTCTTTGATAAATTTAACATTGAGAGTTGTTCTAAGCCTGCTTTGTTTTGTGTCAGACCATTACAAGTAATATGCAAGTACTATCATGTACGGGATCTCGTCACTGGGATGCGAGTAGGGGGGGCTTTGCAGATACTCTGAAGTAAGGTGCTGCTAGTGGCAGCGCTTCTGCGAGTGAACACTGATATCTGCGCATAATTGACCCGTCAGCAACTTTGTCCTGCCTAGCGCGTACACCGCTCCATGCAGCGCAATTTCAGCGTATGTCAGGCCAACACACACACGATGTAAGCTGTCACGTTCGCATTAAGGCAGCTGGATATTTAAACCGTATACGGCGCAGAGCTATCCAAAGTCGGCTAGTTTTACCGTACACCACATTTGATTGGCTAAGATATATTTATGACATCCATCACATTACGTTTGAATCCCATACAGTTAGCTTTCTAGCAAAACTTTTAGGTTCAAATCCCATTTAGTCGACACATTGTAGCCCGGTGATCATAGAGCTATTTTCAGTAGAATCATCTTCCAATACAGAAACCTTTTGAACACATCTATAATATATAACAAGTTGTTCACCCGAATTAGTCCGTACGCCGCATATAAACTAGAAGAACACCGCAGCCTAGAGGAAAACAAAAAAAGAACAAAAAAAAAATACATATTTACAGAAATCAGCAATTGTCTGGTAAGTGGTTCTGGCTGAAAACAAAATCTTAAAAAAGTTAAAAAAGGTAAAAATTGAATAAAGAATATCTATTCATATAGATGGCGGTGCGTACAAGATAACATCAACGTACGTGTGAACACGGGGTATACGCTTAACGGTGGCAGTGGCCTAAATGGCTTAGACATCCGCTGCCACACCGGATTCCGGGTTAGTCCTAGCCGAGGAACTTTATTTGCTTTTTCCCCTTTTTTTACTTTTTCCCTTAATTTATTTGTAATTATTAATTTATTTAATTAATTATTTTTTTAAATTATTAAAAGGACAGTAGCCCTAGATTACTGCCAGTACCAACACGTGTACTTACTGTAATAACATAATCGTCATATACCACATTTTGTTGGCACCAGATACTTAATCTAATTATCTACACATCAACGCTACGCAAATTTGAACGGCGCCATGACACCCGCGACCGTGCGCCCACCGAAAAGTCGCGTATTGGATATTAATTTTGCAGGTAAATGAACGAGTGATAATCACAAAAGCCAATTAATTTATTACCTAAATGCACTTAACCGAACGAGATTCATTTAGGGCAAATTGATCCACGGATATATAAACTGAAACCTATATGTCGTATAAGATTACAATCCTTTTCTTTAAATGAATAACATAAGAAATACCCTCGGTCTGTAGGCCCATTGGGACTGGAAAATGGTTTTGCCGTCAACTTCTCAGAGTCGTGCGCTCTGGTGGCGCCACCGTCGTGTGTAATCAAACTTGTAGTCCGGTTTAGTTTAAAAACATTTTTTAAAAATATTCTCTAATAGGATTGAACATGAAAACTTTTTATGTAGGCGCAATATAACCTATAAATGGGTAGCTGAAAACAACCTAGAACCTAGAGGCTACTTTCCTTATTATTTATTTTAATGCTTGATTTCTTATTATTTTAGTTGGGCTGAATGGATGGGATGGCATGTGCATGGGATGCATGCAATGCATGGGATGGGAGGGATGGGCATAGCCACTGGGATTGGAGGATGGGATGGCATGGATGCCAGGGCATGGCATGGGATGGCATTGCGCATCGATGAGATGGGAGGGGATGGGATGGGATGCGATGCGGTGCGATGGCATGGCATGGCCACGGCATGAAATGGATGGATGCTAGGATGCAGGATAGATCAGATATTGATGTTTTTGGGTATTTCCTTCAACCAAGCGGGTCACCAACTGAGTAACACCAACTAATTTCCCAGTGCAACGCCGGGATCCCACCAGTTAATAATTAGTCGGCGAGGATTCCTCTGACCAATGGCCCACACCAACTAAGGCCGCATCAGCGACAGCGCTCAATCTAACGTCTACTGCGGACGTCTGTGGTGGGAGTGGTGGATTTAGCTAAACCCTGTTAGTCCAAAGGTCGTTCACAATACCACGCGAAATAGGCGAATGCACAGAGATGGGATCAGCGAACCTTCTCAAAAGAATGTTCGGTGGGATCGTCATAAAGTGGCCACAGATGGCGTGTAGACGTTTAAGTGTCTTCAGCATTAAAGATGGTAACTCCCATCCATTCGAGTAGCAACAACTATTTGGCAAGACAAGATTGTAAGCCACTCACATTACCTACGCAAGCCTACAGACTCAAATGCAATAGAGCGCTGAGCACCTGTAACCAAATTAATGCAGGCAAATAAACTGCGCCAACACATGCACAGCCACTGCAGTGCATACGTGACATGTAAACCAACTGACAGTGAACAGAATGACCAAAAAATTATCGATTAAGGAATATACACCTTTTAACCAATGAGCTTTTGAAATTTCACTGGACTGATAGCCTCATACATCCCAGGCATTATACGATTCCTCTAAGCAAACCCGGCAGCAATTCTTATTTCTAACAGACAGTCAACAAATCCATGTTAACGGCCTCCTCTGAGGTAGGGAGGGAGGGTAGGGAGGGGTGGGGGAAGGGTGGGGAAGGGGTGGGGGAGGAAGGGAAGGGGTGGGGGGAGGGCTCTAATAGCAAAAGCATTCACTCCTTTGTTAACGAGTCAACAAATCCATGTTTAACCCGCCTCTGAGGGTCAAAAGGTTACCGACACTTACGACTTCGCAGCAGCAAGAAGGGACATTTCATGTCCCTTCAATAAAGCATAAAAATGCTAGGTCACCGCTGAAACAAAAAAGTTTTTCAATCCTGCCGTGCAGACCCATTCGCTCAGAAAATGTCTAAAAATCTGCCCTTGCCACTGATACCCCTTGACCTGTGACGCTCCAATTTCGCAGCAGGATGGCTTTTCCTAACCATGATGGCTATACACCGACTATCACGACCTAGGTCGAGCCGTTAGATTTGGCCGCAATTATGCATTTCTGCCCTATACCTTAAGTAAGGAGTGAAGGTTCCCCTTCTTTTACACCTCTGACCTTGACCCTTGACGACCCCAGCTTCGAACATCCCAACTCGTTGACGATCCCCCCCGATGTGGCCGAATATCGGACGCGTACGTCGGAGCGTGAAGGATTTTGTGCCCCACCGTTGACCACGACGGACGCACGGACGCACGGACGCACGCCCGACGGACGATCAAAGCGATTCTAACAAAGCTGCATCTGACATGTCAGATGAGCTAAAAAATTTTGGTGGATTTGGTGTGGGTTAGAATCCACCAAAATCGTCGGTGTGGGCATTGGTCAGAGGAATCTCGGACTAGTTAATAATATACTAACATATTATAGACATACATAAATGTATTAGTAGCCAATCAAAAGTACTGTATGGTAAAATAGCGGAGGTGGATACTCTGCCGTATACGGTTAAATATCCACTGCGTTCAATCCTAAATGTTGATGTTAATTGTTGTTGTTGCTGCTGACAACGATAACGATGACAATGACAACGATACTGGGGCCCCTTTCACGAAGCTATCGCAAAAACACCATCTTAAGGATATCCTTAGAATTCTTGTACGAGAGCCTAACGCTGTCCTAAACGTCCCTAGTTAAAGTGTTTCACGAAACTTATGCCGGTGCGTTGTTAGACGGTCCTTAAAATTCAGCTGTAACGATGTTGCTGGCAGCATAGACTGGTACCCAGGCTATCTCTACACCTTGCTACTAGATAGTCTATATATAGAGACATGTTACAAGTCTAATGGCGACCCAGCTCACTGTGAGTTGCTACGCTAATCTCTCGCGTCATTTAGTTTTAATAAATGTAGGTACAACAGCGTGCAAACTAAAAATAATAGGTCAAAAGTATTTTTAAATGCCAAGTACCTGAGAAATAATTAAACTAAAGCAAGGTTGTCATATTTCCTGCAACTAGAACTACCAAAAATGACGTAGGCCTATTGACTGAACAAAAATGTAACATACATTCTGAAGGTTTAGATTTACGTTTACTTTGATACAGTATTGGCGCCATACAGTAATTACATACACGAACAGCCGAAGCACATGTAAGGTGCAAGGAAGCATTTCATCTCTTCAAAATCTGCTACCACAATAAGAAGCTTCTTAGCCACACTTAACCCCTGAGCGTCATGCCTTCACAAGCCTTGCACAGTATTCTCGTAGACACCGAAAAGTTACCTTCTCAGCGGGTTTTCGCTTTACACTAGGGCCTACTGCTTGCCAAAACAATGAAAACGCGGGAAAACTCGCGTTGCTTGCTGTACGATAGCCTAAGTACTGCCCCTGACCTGTCCTTAAGATTCCTCCTTAATAACAATGTCGTTGAGTTAGCGAGACGTTTGTGAAATGTAGAAACTTAGCGAGGATTTCGTGAAACACTCTATATATAAGGATATCCTAAAATCCCTCTTTAACCCATCACTAACTTTAACCCCCTATCCTCCTGGGTTTGGGTTACATTATTGTATCTATAACTTAAGCCTCAGTCACACTGGGGCCGGACTGTCCACGGATTACCGCGGATGGGGCAGGATCTCCCCGGACCGTAAAATTTATAATCCGTGGCGATCCGGGTGAAAAAATTACGAGACGGTCGAAAAAAAGCATCATCGGGCCGGATCGGGCCGGACCAGAACGGCAGCGCCACGGATCATCCTGGATTGAGCCCGGATGAAGCCGGCCCCAGGACGGAGTCACTACGGACCGCCCCGGACCGCCCCGGACTGCCTCGGACCGCCACGGACCTGATCCGGCCTGGTCCGGCCCCGTCCTGGCCCATCCGTGCTCCCATCCATGTTGGGTCCGGCTTGATCCGTAGTGATCCGTGGCCGATAAAAACGACACGGATGTATCAGAAGAGTGTGACCGTGAATTTAAGGAGTAGGTGTGCGTAGTAATAGTAGTAGTAAGCAGTGGAAAAAATACACGGGGGCGGCGGGCGATTTTGCCCCCGAAATGCCAAAAAGAAAAAGTCGCCCTGGAAATTTTGGAGGGTTTGCAAAAAAAGCCCCGGAAAAAAAAAATTCACTGGTAGTAAGGTAAAAATTTAAAATTCTTATTTATATAGCAGAACCACAGTATAAATGCACGTATGTAATCAATCTGTTAAAAAAACATTTATAGCTGTCCATTTCATCTACAGACTTGTGGTGTTTCGATACACGAAACAAAGCAATCGATAAATCGCAGTTTTGCTTCCACGGATGTGCCTTACTAATAAATCTACTGCTGATGCTGCTGCTAGTGCTACTCAGTACTGCTGCTGTTGCTGCTGCTGCTACTGCTGCCACTTCCACTGCCACTACTAATAATAATACTAATACCACTATTATTATTACTACTACTACTACCGATAATAATAATAATAATAATAATAGTCATACTAATGAAACAGCAACGCGCACACACCTGAGACCATGCCGGCGCTTGGCACATCCCCATAGTCCATGTCGACTCCAGCGATGCTGCCTAGCTCTAGGAAGCTCTGCTGGTCATCGAGTAGCAGCTGCAGGCGTCTCCTAACGAGCAGCTTCTTGTTGACCTCCGTGTGCCTCTTGACGGATCTCTCACCGCCGCCCTGCCGACACATGTCCACCAGCTGGCGCCACTGCTTAGCTAGCAACCGGCTCTTGGTGAGAGTTTCCCAGTACGGCTTAGAGACGTCGTCTACTCTGCCATCGACTACTCTGAATTTGCTCCTGGGAAAGGCCAATGAGAGCGGGTGATCCCGTTACAGTGCAGCATGCACATGCTTGCACGCAGGTGCACGCACACACGCACACACACACACTCACGTACACACACAATTTAAAAATTAGGCTCGGCACAGATTGTTTACATACAGATATTGAAGTCCATGTCTTTGGGATAAATTTAACATTTGAGAGGTTGTTCTAAAGCTGCTTTGTTTGTCAGACCATTACAATAATATGCAAGTACTATCATGTACGGGATCTCTCACCTGGATGCAGTAGTGTGGGTGGGCTTTGCAGATACTTCTTGAAGTAAGGTGCTGCTAGTGGCAGCGCTTCTGCTTAGTGAAACACTGATATCTGCGCATAATTGACCTCCAGGCAACTTTGTCCTGCCTAGCCGTAACACCGCCGCCATGCAGCGCATTTTCAGCTATGTCAGGCCAACACAAACACTGAATTGTAAACTGTTCACGTTCGATTAAGGCAGTGGATATTTAACCGTATACGGCAGAGTATCCAATTCGGCTATTTTACCGTACACCACATTTGATTGGCTAGTATATATTTATGACATCATCAACATTACGTTTGAATCCCATAAGGTTTAGCTTTCTAGAAAACTTTTAGGTTCAAATCCCATTTATTTCTACACATTTGTAGCCCCGTTTGATCATAGAAGCTATTTTCCGTGAATCATCTTTCCAATACAAAACCTTTTGAACACATCTATATATATAAAGTTGTTCAACCGAATTAGTCCGTACTCGCATATAACTAGAGAACTCCGCAGCCTAAAGGAAAACTAAAGCTATTTTCAGAATCAGCATGTCTGGTAGGTGGTTCTGGCTGAAACAAAAATTTTAAAAAGTTAAAAAGTTAAAAATTGATAAAAATTCTATTCATCATATATTCTATATCATATACATATTCTATATATATATTCTATCATATATTCTATTATACACCGGGATTCCGGGTTTGAGTCCTAGCTGGGGAACTTATTTGCCCCTTTTTTCCTTTTTTCCCTTTAATTTATTTTTAATTTATTAATTAATTTAATTAATTATTTTTTTAAATTATTAAAGGGACAGTAGCCTCTAGATTTACTGCATACACACTGTACTTACTGTATAACAAATCGTCTATACCACATTATTGTCACCAGATACTTAATTAATTATTTACACATCAACCGCTACGAAATTTGAACGGCGCCATGACACCCGCGACCGTGCTGCCACCCTGAAAAAGTCGCGTATTTGGATTTATATTTTGCAGGTAAATGAACGAGGATAATCACAAAAGCAATTATATTTATACCTAAATGCTATTTAACCGAACGATATTCATTTTAGGGCAAATTTATCCATATTAAACTGAAACTATTATGTCGTTTATAAGATATTACAATCCTTTTGCTTTTAAATGAATAAATAAGAAATACCCTCGGTCTGTAGGCCCTTGGGTGGAAAATGGTTTTGCGCAACTTCTCAGATCGTGCGCTCTGAGTGGCGCCACCGTCGTTGTAATCAAACTGTAGTCCGTTAGTTTAAAACATTTTTTAAAAATATTTCTAATAGCGATTGAACATGAAACTTTTATGTAGCGCAATTATAACCTAAATTAGCTGAAAAAACCCTAGAACCTAGAGGACTACTGTTCCTTATATATTTTATTTAATCTTTATTCTTATTATTTTTACGTTGGGATGAGATGGATGGGAGGCATGGCATGGGATGGCATGCAATGCATGGGATGGGATGGGATGGCATAGCATGGCATGGGATGTGATGCGGATGGCATGGATGCATGGCATGGCATGGGATGGCATTGGATGCGATGAGATGGAGTGGGATGGGATGGGATGGATGCGGTGCGATGGCATGGATGGCACGGCATGAAATGGATGGATGCAGGATGCTGATGCAAGACAGATAGTTAGATGTTTTTGGGTATTTTCCTTTCAACCAAGCGGTCACCAACTGAGTAACACCACTAATTTCCCAGGGCAACGCCGGGTATCCCACTAGTTAATAATTAGTCCGAGATTCCTCTGACCAATGCCCACACCGACAAGTGCCGCATAGCGACAGCCGCTCATCTAACGTCTACTGCGGTACTCTGTGGTGGAGTGGTGGGATTCTAGTAAACCCTGTTAGTCCAAATGGTGTTCACATACACGCCGAAATAGTGCGAATGCACAGAGATGGTATCAGGAACCTTCTCAAAAGAATGTTCGTTGGGATCGTTATGAAAGTTGGCCACAGATGGCGTGTACGCTTTAAGTGTCTTCAGATTAAAGATGGAAGCTCCCATCATTCGTAGTAGCAAACAACTATTTGCAAGACAGAATCTAGTAAGCACTCACATTTACCTACGCAAGCCTACAGCTCAAATGCAATAGCAGAGCTGCGCACCCTGTAACATATTAATGCAGGCAAATAAACTGCCCAACACCATGCACAGCCACTGGCAGTGCATACTGACATGTAACCAACTGACAGTGACAGAATGACAAAGAAATTATTTACGATTAAGGAATATACACCTTTAACCACAATAGCTTCTTGAAATTTCACCTGGACTTGATAGCCTACATACATCCAGCATGTATACGATTCTACTCTAAGCAAACCGGCACGCTAATTCTTCTTTTAACAGACAGTCAACAAATCCAATCGTTAACGCCTCCTTCTGAGGTAGGGGGACGGGAGGTAGGGGAGGGGTGGGGAAGGGGTGGGGAGGGGCTGGGGAGCGGGAAGCGGAGAGGGGGGGGAGGAGGGCTCTATAGCAAAAGCAGTTCACTCCTTTGTTAACAGTCAACAAATCCATAGTTTAACCCCCTCTGAGGGTCAAAAGGTTACCGACACTTACTACTTCGCATGTTCAGCCAGAAGGCGAATTTTCATGTCCCTTCAATAATAGCATAAAAATGCTAGCAGTCACCGCTGAAACAAAAAAGTTTTCCATCGCGTCCGGGCAGACCCATGTCGCTCAGAAAATGTCTAAAATCTGCCCCGTCTGCCCACTGATACCTTGACCTGTGACCTCCAATTTCGGCACAGTGATGGCTTTTCCTAACCATGATGCTATACACCGACTATCACGACCTAGGTCGAGCGTTTAGCATTTGCGCCGCAATTATGCATTCCTCCCTATACCTTAAGTTAAGGAGTGAATGTTCCCCTTCTTTTACACCTCTGGACCTTTTGACCTTGACCCCCAGCCTTCGACATCCCAACTCGTTTTGACGATCCCGCCCCGATGTGCCGAATATCGTGACGCGTACGGTCGGCGCGCTGAAGATTTTGTGCGCAACCGTTGACACGGACGCGACCAACGACGCACGGACGCACGCCGCGACGGACGATCAAAGCGCATCTACAAAGCTGCATCCGGACTATGTCAGATGAGCCTAAAAATTTGGTGGATTTGGTGGGGTTAGAATCCACCAAAATCGTCGGTGGGGCCATTGGTCAAGAGAAATCTCAGACTAGTTAATAATATACAAAAAAACAAAACAAAAATTAACATATATAGACATACATAAAATGTATATGAAGACCAATCAAAATTGTACTGTATGGTAAAATAGCGAGAGTGATACTCTGCCGTATACGGTGAAAATATCGCACTGCGTTCAATCCTAAAATGTTGATGTTAATTGTTGTTGTTGCTTGGCCTGACACGATAACGATGACAATGACACACGACTCACTTGGGGCCCTCTTCACGAAGACTACGCAAAAACACGCATCTTAAGGATATCCTAAGAATCTTGTACGAGCAAGCCTAACGCTGTCCTAAAGCGTCCCTCGTTAAAGTGTTCACTGAATACTTATGCCGGTGCTGTCTGTTAGCACGGTGCCTTAAAAAGTTCAGCTGTAAACGACTGTTGCTGCAGCATAGACTGGTACCTGCAGGCATCTCTACACCTTCTACTAGCAGAGTTCATATATAGAGACATGTTACAAGTTCTAAAATGGTCGACCCAGCCACTGTGAGTTGCTTATGGCTAATCTCTCGCGCTATTTAGTTCTTTTAATAAATGTAGGTACAACAGCGTGCAAACGAAAAATAACATAGGTCAAAAGTATCTTTAAATGCCAAGTACCTGAGAAATAATTAAACAAAGCCAAGTTGTCCTAATTTCAACTGCAACGTACGAATACCAAAAGATACGGGTAGGCTATCTCGGACTGAACACAAAAATGTAAACATACATGTGCTAAGCGTTACGACTTTACGTTCACTTTGATAGTCAGTGCGCCGTAGCAGTAATACATACAGGGGAAACAGCCGCAAGCCACATGTAAGGTGCAAGCGAAGCATTTCATCTCTTCAAAATCTTCCTACCACCAATAAGAAGCTCTTAGCCACACTTAACTGAGCGTCATGCCTTCAACAAGCCTTGCACAGTATTCTGCCGCCCCCCCCCCCCCCCCCCCGCCCCGAGACCACGCGAAAAGTTACCTTCTCAGCGCGGTTTCGCTTTACACTAGGCCTGACCCTTGCCAAAACATGAAAACGCGGGAAAACTCGCGTTGCTGCTGCTACGATAGCCTAAGTACTGCCTCCTGCACCTGTCCTAGAATCCCTCTAATAACAAATGTCGTTTGAGTCTGTAGTCCCGAGACGTTTATGTGAAATGAGAAACTACAGGATGTTCGTGAAACACCTATATATAAGAATGCCTAAAATCCCTCTTTTAACCATCACTAACTTAACCCCCTATCCTCCTGGTGTGGGTTACATTATTGTATCTATAATTAAGCTCATCACACTGGGGCCGATGTCCACGGTTACCGCGGATGGGCAGATCTCCCCGACCGAAAATTAAACTCCGTGTGCGATCGGGTGAAAAATTACGAGAACGGTCGAAAAAAAGCATCATCGGGCCGGACTCGGGCCGGACCAGAACGGGCAGCCACGGATCATCCTGGATGAGCCCGATGAAGCCGGCCCAGGACGGAGTCACTACGCGACCGCCCGGACCGCCCGGACTGCCTCGGACCCGCACGGACCTGATCCCGGCCTGTCCGGCCCCGGCCTGCCCATCCGTGCTCCCATCCATGTTGGGTCCGGCTTGAACCGTAGCTGATCCGTGGCCGATAAAAACGACACGATGGCCACGGATGGCCCGGTTCAACACGGTGTGGCCCGGTTCATCACGGTGCCACTACAGACTGTCCCAGACGCTACACGGACGCGCCACGGACCGTCCAGGACCACCCCGGATGGGGAAAACTCCCGGACCGTCCCGGATCATCACCCCGAAAATTTTAAACAGTGTTAAAAACTTCCGGGGCGATATCCCGGAATGCGCAGGACCATCAAGGACCACCCCGGACCCTGCCGGACCGTCCAGGACCAACAAGGATCTCTCCCCGGATCAGTCCGGCAGCGTCCGGCCCGGTCCGGAGCTTGGTGTGACTAGCTTTAACGAGCGCTTCGTGAAACGGCCCCCTGGAGTCCGAAAACATGATCGTCGTTGCGGGAAGTAGTACTGCCTACTGGCAATGGCTATCATTGTGTATATTCTTTTACTCACAGTCAAATAATATAAACAAGTGCTAGTACTAGGCCATTGCGACTTTGCGTGAACCATAGATATATATACAAACATATCTATGCGTGAACTTAGGACCGAACTTAGGACCGAATAGGAGTGTGTGAAATCAGAGTAAGACTTGATACGCTGAGACTAAATTTGTACCCGTTCAACACTCAATCGTCGAAGTTCTACATACACTGTATGACTGTGAAAGCTAGACTATATAGCAGTTAAACGGAGGTTCTTGACGCCAAGTTACAAAATTAACTTACAAAGTTTTGACTTATGACAACCATGTTTTCACATTGTCAACTTGCGCCGTTTGCGCACAGACTGTGGTTTGCGTGTTGACAGTGTTGATTACTGTTGCAGTGCCACCTACCGAGAAGAAACATAATACCTAGCTTACTGATCAAGTTCATAATCAAAATCATAGATCAAGCACGCACAGCAAAATCAAGCCTCGCACAGGTTACATATAAATAATGTCAAGAGCGTATAAAGAAGCCTTCTTCTTAAAGAAGACCTTCTTTATACGCTCTTGATAATGTACTAGTCATGGTCTATATAATCTCTCTATAGAATTCCATAGAGACCCACATAGCGTTGACTATTAAAAGAAAATGTAAAAGAAAATGTAATAAGTATGAAAAAGTAAATGAAATATGTAAACTGGAGCGCAGGTTTTCACGAGCTGTTTGAGAAGGGAGTGTGGACGATAAGTGGAAGTGTGGGATTATGGAAGAAAGGAGAGTGTGGTGGATGAGGACGACGAGGAAGAAGAGGAGGAGGAGGAGGAGGAGGAGGAGGAAAAGGAGGAGGAGGGAGAGGAAGGGAAGGAACGTGAAGACAAAGTAGATAACTACTAAACGAATTATGACTGAAAAGTAAGAGAGGTGTATGGGTAATTAAAGAATATTATAAGAGGTGTTTGTGGGAGGTATGTGGAGAAGATCAGATATCATACAGACCGTAGGAATGAAACCTAGATCGTTAGTTTTCACAATCTTCCATGTTCGCTCTCTATTATCAACTCAAAATTCGGTAATGCGAGATTACGTGATTACGAGATCACGAGATAATTTCCTTACGTAATTATAATGGATTATTTAATTATTATAATTATAAGGAGGCAAATCATTCAAACCACCACGAACATTAGACAGCTGTTAGGAGCATACGTGTCTCAGCGCATGCCTATTATATACTAAACAAAATTACATTTTGTTGAAATTCTATATTAAAGACAGGGAGGTAAATGTTCCTGCATGGGGTGTATGATATGAAACATCGGGATCCCATTGTTTCATTAAATAATGAGTAGGGGGCCATTCTTCTCATCGCCCCAATTGCAGACAACTTCAAGTGAAAGTATATACACTTTTATTTGCAATTAGGCGGCGTTGGTATCGCGAAGCAGAAATGGTATATATGTCAAACGAATTATATACATTATTATTATTTATTATTAAATCTTTATTGCATGTAATTCAGATACAAATACATGTACTGACGACAGTTTTTTTTCATGGAGAACAATTCTGATAATAGATAAGATTATTTTGATGAAATTATACATTGGTAGAGAGCACATGTCCTCAGGAGTAATTTAATATTGAAGTTTTTGATCTCAATGTCTTCCTTTATTAATTATTAGGCGTTACATCGCTTAGCATCATTGAACATTGGATAACTTATAGAAAACAGGCGTGTCTCTGCGTAAGTCTACTATTTGCTAAATGAAATTCGTTTTTTTCACTTTATGTTTTTATTATTTGTTCAATTTATAGAGAGGACACTTTCATGAATAGTATGCTATAAAAATCCGGGTTCTATTGCGTTTCTTACATAATGAATATGTCATGAGCCCAATCTCGAATCTCGATTCCCCGCATCTCCGAGTCAGATTACATACACGTTCCTTTGCCGTTGGTCGGCGCTAGTGTCGTGATTCACAAATGGTATATGCATAGATGTCTATGGGTATATGAAGCCAGAGGAAGCCTAACAAATTATATACGCAAATAATTTTTGTTGAAATTAATACACTTATAGTGGGTACATACTCAAGAGTAGTTTGCTATTGAAAATGGCAGTCCAATTGCCTCGGTTTATAAATTATAAAGCAGCAAATCTTCCAAACAACTCTGGGCGTTTGATGGATTATAGGGGGTCCACGTGCCTCAGTGCCTGTGCCGTGTGCGCATGCCTGAGACAAACCAAGGTTGAACCCAATAAATTGGAGTAGGAACCCAATCTCCTTACAAAATATCATCCCGATTCCCCGCAATACCGAGTAAAATTATAAACACTAGACCTACTATTATTGGCCGTTGTACAATAGAAATTGTGTATGTTGCCACTACGAAATACGCATATAATTTTGATGTAATTATACACTTGTAGTTGTAGAGAGCTTACATTAAGCAGTGGTGTGATTATGTGATATTGAAAATATCTATCCCACTGCCTCTCGTTATTAATGATTAGGCGGCAAATATCCTCCTTGAGGATATTGGATAGATTCTGGTAAATATAAAAACAGGCGTGTTTGTATGAATGACAACTACTTGCTAAAAGAAATCTCACTTTGTTCAAATTATATATTTATAATAAGTTGGACATATTCAGGAACAGTTTGCCACGAGAAATGTGGATCCCTCTCTCATACAGTGGCGTAACGATAAGGTAGGGCAGGTATGGCACGTGCCCTGGGCGCCACTTGAAGGGGGCGCCACTGAGCAGTTTCTATTAAAGTCAGACAAGACGGTTGTGGTTAACACAAATTAACAAAATTAGCAACAATGAAAAGTTTCATCGATCCTCATTATCGATTGCTTCGCAGCCTTGTGCAGCACATATTCATTCACAGTGCAGTAGCCATATTATTATTTTAGTAAGTGGACACAAACATGCATACACAAGTCCAGTTCGGATGACAAATTCTGCATAATTAAAGCAAATGTCAACAGATCGCAGACAGTGACGAACAAATAACACGAGGCCTGTGTAGGAGACGTTGTTACAATGTAACAATCAATCAATCCTCGAAATGGTCCGATTACAAGACTCCACACTAACATGAGTGTCAGAAGTGAGAGTTTTCACACTGCCAGATTAGTACAAAATAAAAAAAGTTCTGGAACATCTTTGATTGTCTACGCTTCTAATCACAATAAAAACTAGTTCCCAGAAATTTAAGACTCATTAATTGCAGGATAATTATTCAGTACACGTCTATGTATGATTCCCGCAGTATTGTGAGAATAAAGTGAGAAATAACTAATTTAGTATTGTGTAAAGTTTTTATTTATTCCATAAAATTAACCGTTTAAACCGGGTCAATGTGACCGTCACTAAATTAGTTTAAATCATTTTACAAATCAATGACAGCTAAATTGATATTTTTCTCGAGAAATCGGGTCCATAAGTCAGTTATGTGGCGAAAAGTTACTCAAAAACCATTAGTTCATGTCTAAAAATACTATTTCAAAGTGCTGGGAAATCGCACCTGGAGCCATTAAATTTTCAAAAATTTTCTAGGGGAGGGCGCCCAGACCCCCCCCCCGTAGGTGCTTCGTGTTTAGCGGCGTTAGCGCGGGCGGCTTTGCCGCCATATCCTATGTTTCTATAGTATGAAAGTCCACAGCTGTAGCACTAAGAACCCCCCCCCCCTGTCCCACACACACACACACACACACACTTTTTAGCTGGCTAAGCCCCTGCATATTATAGTATCAGAAGTAAGATAATATAGGATATCCTATAGGACCCTATATTATCTTACTCCTGATAGTATCCGTAGGCCAGTATATAGTATTATAGTAAAGCTATCTAAAAGATGGGTGTCAGATGTTTGAGCAGGGGCGCAATTTCAGTGTTCGCCATAGGCGCTATTCTCCGTAGGTGCGTCCCTGCTCTCACATAATCAGTAGGGGCATAATAAACGTTGACAAACTTGATACAGGCCGCGTAGCCAGGGGGGGTTCGGGGGGTTCGAAGGAACCCCCCCCCCGAGCCCCCTCAAGCCAAAAAAATTGTTTTTTGAAAATTTGCAAGAATTTCACCTCAGGTCGCTCCATTTTAGTGTAATAATTGCAAAATCTCCATCGTGCGGGAGGGTGAACAGTGAACACCCCCCCTCCACACCTCCCCCCGCTCTGTCGCTTGGCTCCGCTCGCCTGGTCGCTTCGCGCCCGGAGCAGGGGCGTGTCCAGGGAGTCCGGACCCCCCTTGCTCGCGCAGAAAACGCATCTGAGGGGGTGTAATTTAAAAAATGTCTGGAGCTTCCAGACCCCCCCTTCGCGTGCTCGCAACTTTGGGTTACGGTTAGACCCCCCCTGGTACAAATCCTGTACACGCCCCTGCCGAGCAAATTGCCAACATTGAAAAACGAACGCCCCCCCCCAATACAAAGCTGGCTACGGGCCTGCTTGATATATAGATATAATTCTGTTGAAATTTATATACATGTAGAGGACACGCCCCGAGGTCCCGAGGAGTAGGATGATATAGAAAATTATCAGTTATTACATGATCATTTTATAAATTATAAGGCAGCAAATTAAACCTCATTGAAACGTGGGATATATGGAGCAGTTGGTTATGCATATGCTGTCTGCATAGAGAAATTACATTTTGCGGAAGTTACATCTTTAAAATAGAGAGGACATACTGATCAGGAATAGTTACATGTGGGGTCGTTCAGGAAACCTAAGGGCCAGGTGAACCTATAAGCATTTTTGTTTGCTGTTGATCAACGCTATGGTGTCGCGCATCAGAAATGGTGTATGGTAATAATAGACACAAATACCCTAGGATGTACGTGAATATAACATGATAACACATTTAGTATTTTTTCGTGTTTTGTATTTTCAAAAATATCAATGTTTTAATACAATTATAATTTACAAGCACTCTGTTTTCTGGTAACCAAGGTAACCTGAGTATTAATAAAACAGTCGCTAATTGCCTTTCTATCAAAACAACCCCATTTAGCATATTTAGTCAGGTTAGAAATAGGGAAAATTATCTCTACACAACCAGTAACTACTAGAAGATGTTACTTGTAAAACAACTGCACTAAATGTGTTTATATAAAATCCTCATTACTGGTACAAGAACATTGTCGTATGTACAAAAGTTGACCTATATGAAGAAAGGTTCTGTTGGATGCAGCAAATGCAGCAAAAACGTTGCACTCACCCCAAATTTACGAGTCACGCAAAACTAACAAATCTCTGATGTGTGACACAAAGAGGGCTCGGACACTTTTTCTGACAACATGTACGTTAACCAACATACATGCATGTGTCAAAACTTACATAAAAAACAACAACATGCAGTTAACTAAAATTTCGCATAGCTATGGTACATGATTAGTAAAAAGGGTTACCTAGTAAGCATTACGGAAAAAGGTCTGGCACTTTACACAAATAATATGGTCCACAAAATAGCTAGTAAACTCTTTAATAGCTCTGTACATGTATAAACAAATTCTGTGGTTTCTGGTGCACAAACCACTTTCATAACAAAATTTGATTCATAGAATTTTCTCAACATCATTTCACCATTCCGCTCCGTAAAAATAGCTTATCGTTGATCACTACAGCTTCACATTCAACTCTCGCTTCCTCCTCGGTATAAATTCAAACTACAATCACAGCATGTTTTTTTATTATAGTCACAATGAATGTCGGCATGCTAGTCAGACCGAAGGACCAGCTACCAGCCTGTGTTCTCTGCCAGCCCGTGGCCCCTGCCAGCCTGTGCCCTCTGCCAGCCTGTGTTCTCTGCCAGCCTGTGCCCTCTGCCAGCCTGTGTCCTCTGCCAGCCCGTGGCCCCTGCCAGCCTGTGCCCCCTTGCCAGTCTGTGCCCCTTGCTAGCCTATGCCCTCTGCCAGCCTGTTCCCCCTGCCAGACTGTGCCCCCTACCAGCCTGCACCCCCTGCCAGCTGCACACCAGCACTGACAGGCGGCATTGGCAACTTCCTCCATAGCAAAAAAATCCTTCAAAAGTTCACTGGTCGCCCGTGAAAGACTTGGGAAACTCAACTGGTGATAACACGAGGAAAACCATCAGCCGTGATCTCGATGCCAATATCATAATAAAAATATATGCGTGCGCACGCACACGCACACACACCACACATACATACACACACATATCACTTCTGCATCGTCCACGTTGCAAAGTCTGATGCGCCTGCATTCACTAGTGGTGTCCACTTGTTCAAAAGATATAGATGGCGCTTTCAGACGACTAATGGCACGGCTTTAATGGTGATACCACTTAGTTGCTAAGCGGTGCTCAAGCAAAAACGTGCCGAGTAAAACATCCGGGTTTCTTGTTATAATGTAACACCTCTCGGTAGTTCAGCCGGCCCAAGTTACGAAAACAGCATACGTGGAAATTAGTGAAACTGGAACTGGAAGCACTGCATGACACATCACATATGGAAGCATATCTCGTGGCATACGCGCGCATCCTATACTGTGTACTAATGGAAGCCACCGTGCTTAGCTGCCAACCAGCAGACTCATGGAAGAATTATCGCAAGCTCTTTGATCTGCTCGAAAAACTGCCTTCAAATCGCTCCCAGAATAGTAATGACCATAAACAGGTAGGTGGCGCCACCTACAAACGCTCGATTATGATGTCTCCTTCGTTGTCTTCGTCCGATTCTGTCGAGGGAACCGCCGGGACGGTGGGGTTGGCCATAGTGAAAAATGCCATCTTCTCTCTAAAGTGGTACAACAGACGCAGACGTTAGACAAAAACAAGGTGTTACGCATAAACGAAAAAGCAAAAAAAGTAAATGGAGGAGAAGAGCACAATTAAAATATCAATCAAAGCCTACAAATAGAACCTTCAGGATTGTCTTTCCTCACATATATTAAAATTCATACATTAAGCAACAGTTAATATAGTAAATTCAAAGGAATATAAATTAACAATCCATTAATTCAAGCTAATCACGCCTCTCTTTGATATTGCTTCCAAGTCGATCAAGATATATCAATTTATATGCGTTTTTAAACGTGTGCCCACCGACTTGCCGCCCCAGCAACACTTAAAATGCGCCCATTATAGCAATAATTGGCTACGGATACGTGCATATCAATCAAAGCAAACAGGTTGATTTAATACGAGTTTCCGCTGCGATATCTATGAATGAAATGCACTGCACACCTGAACAGCTGTGGATCGGGCTCATTTCTCGCACTCTGTCGCAACTTCGTGATCTCTCTCGTCCGTTTCCGTAGCATCTTCGCCGCTCGCTTCTCGGCATCCGTCTTCGGTACCTGACAGGAGATAAGAAAGCATTCATTCCACTGCAACACCGTGGCAACAATATCGGATAATCATGTGTCTTCTACATGTCAGCGAAGCTTACTGCTCTGCTCTTGATGGCACACATTTTCATAGACAAGAGACGCTGCTTAATTACTAAGAAAAGCACACATCAGATTCTTTCGACTGTGATAGGAATATTTATAAACGTACTTGACTAGTGGCGGCATCTGCCAGCAGATTCTGCCACTGTTCATTTTCTGACAGCCACGATGGCGTCTCTTCACCTGAAACGATAGATGTACACGTGAATGCTTTGTTAAATCAATCCATTTACATTAGCAATCATCTCCTTGATATAATCGGTTATATAGAACGTAACACATCAACACACGCATGCACGCACATGCCCGCGCGCACGCACGGCACACACGCACGCACGCACACACACATACAGAGAGGGAGGAAGAGAGAGAGTGAGATACACACACGCACGCACGCACGCACGAACGCACGCACACGCACACACACACACACACAAACACACTTGAACCTCGCCCCCTTCTGCCTCATGCACAACCCGCGACGTCGTTTACCTCTTTCCCTGGCGCCCTCTAGTATGTGCTTGAGCTTGTGCAGCCGCGTGATCTCCTCGTTCATCACCTCCAGCTTGTTCTTCGACGCCTGAAGGTCGAGCTCAAGGTCGAGCGACGTGCGCATGCTACGTCGCTCGCTGCGCTTCACGCGGGGCGCCACCGTCGGCGTGCGCCGCCGCCGCAGGCTGCGTCGCTCGACGGCGTTACGCTGGAACGTGCTGCGCCGGTAGAGCGGCATTGAGCTGTCGCTGTCGCTGCGGTTCAGCTGAGGGAGGCGCGAAGGAGAAGACAGCAATTAGATAGCTGTATTGATAGCAAAAATTATCTGACATATGAATTGAGATAAGAGATATATTAATTTCAGATTTTTTTTATTTTTTTTATTTGTTATGGATAGATTATAGATGGAATTTTGTGAGAGATATTATAGCTCATCTCGCTGTAGTTTTAGCATATTATTTTCTTTGCATAGGACAATCGACTTTCACGAATTAACTTAATCCTTTAACTATACTGCACAGCTATGTTTGCACCCGGCGAGGCACAGACAAATCCAACGTCTGAGGTGGAATGTGATCACGACGTGCGGATAACTCGGCGGATGTCGAGCCCACTCACCCGGCAGATGTACTGCGACGGCGGACCCGCGGCCGGCGAGAAGGTCTGCGAGCGCTTGATGCTGCTGCCCTTGATGACGGGCACCGCCTGCTGCTGCTGCCGCGGCGCGTGCTCACGCACCACGAAGTTACACTCTGTGTTCGTTTCCTGCGATTATAACATAATGCATGTAGACTATATGCCTTATATGTCACTATAGGCCCTATATGTCGCTAAAGGCCATATTTGTCACTACACGCCCTATATGTCGCTACAGGTCCAATATGTTACTATAGGCCCTATTTGTCGGTATAGAATATGTACATGTATTACCGGACTATATCAGTTCCTAAGGGAATAAACTTAAAGGTAGATCCAGGCGTGGTTTAGCAGGGGGTTGCAACCCATAATGGAGGGGATAGACTGATCTCCATATTATAGACTGATTTTGCATGCATGTAATATATTATGTACTTTATTTCTATATTTAGCTTTATTTTTCTGTTCGTATTTTTAATTTGGAATGTAGATGAAAATGACCGTAATGAAATGACCGTAATGAATTCCAAACCATACGTGGCTTACAATTCAATACAAGTCCAATAAAAATATCATAACCAGGGTCTACGAAGTGGTACATCATGATCAGACGCACCTTGTCTGCTGTTCTGATTTTCAGGGTCTCGTATTGGCCTTCGTAATCCACCTCTTCCTCCTCCTCCTCTCTCCCATTCTCCTGTTCACACTCCAGCGTGCTTTCTCCACCTGCTGCACCCTCCTCCTCCTCATCAAAAGACATAATGGCATCCGCCGTATCCTCCTCATCTTCCTCCTCCTCACCATCTTCCTCGTCATTGTCAGGAAAACCGACCCCCTTCATCGTATCTTGTGACATGTCCATCTCCGACTCTACATGCGGGAGTAGGAAATTTGGAAAATTATTCGCGTGAACTATTTGCTTCGAACGTTCCCTATTGTCAACTAAGACACATGCATATCATGAATAAACAATGGCGCTATCATTACTTATAAAAAATATCACACATCTAAATATCATATAAATATTTTTAAATTTTAAAAACAATCTTAGTAATCACCACATCAATCACCATCATCAAAAGTGATAAATACGGCAATCATCGCAAACAAAGGGAACTGCACTCGATTGTTGCGTTTGCGATCCGTTACCTTGGTTACGCGTCAGAGTTGACGCCTGCGAAGAGATGATGGTCGACTCGTCGCTCGACTCTTCCTTCAGAGCTCCGAGGAATGCCGCGTTTGTCTGCTCTTGCGCGAGATTCACAGCAGCAGACGTCTGATCAAAATGCCTGAAGCCACAACGCATTCATTCACTCATCCACGTCGACCACATCAATGTCCAACATGTAACTAGATTTAAGCCCTGCTATCTCTGCATATGTGAGATTGCCTCGCAGGTACGCTTCTGTGCCCTCACACGCTGTTCTCATTCCACCATCCTAGACTAAGCAGCACAAAAGATCCTTCATTCACACTGCTGCCAAGGTCTGGAGCACGCACGACAACAAGGCCACTTCAAAAATAGAGTGAACCATATCCTAAACAGTCGTTGATAATCATTACCTGAAGGGAAATGTTGCTCAGTGATCCTTGATATCAAGACAACACGAGAATTCATTGTCGTGAGTACTAAGTCTACATGTAGTGCCATACTGTTCTTTTACTCACAACACGTGTTGCTAACCACCTGTACTTATCCCACTCATAGCCAAGGGAACAACTTGAGACGAGCGAAAATATCAGGTAAAGTCAGTTCGCTCCGCCGACAACAAGGTTTAAACTATTTTCGCGATAAAAGCCCGTAGGGCTATTGTCAGAAACACCATAGCTCTACAATAATGACTACTGTTATTATAACAAACAAGAAAAGTCACAACTAAGACTAACGACACCACTAAAATGTTGTCACAATGGCCCCCTGGGAAGCAAACCCAGTCAGACCATATACTGTAGTGCCGACGCGCACGTCTTTTTGTGATATTTAAACACAAGAACAATGAGTAGGTGGTAAGGTAAGACGGCATGCTGTGACGCTAACCTTCTTCGAGGCCTCATGAGAGCTTGCTGCTGTTCTCTTAACTCTGCGTGCAACCGCCCAAGCATGTCATCCTTGGCCTTCAACGTGTCATCCTCCTCACCCTGTTCCTTCACTTTCTCATCTTCCTCCTCCCCCTCCACCTCCTCTTCGGCCAGTCGCTCAGGCTGAAAATAATCACACATATTCACAGCATATGTAATCTATAAAATACCTCACTCACTGCTGCCACAGTGCATCGCGCGAACTGCTTCAAGTTTCTATTTCTTTCGAGAGCTCTCCCAAACTCTGTCATGCATGCTTCAATGTCATGGGAGTTTGCAGTCAAGCCATAATTACATGAGTATCCATTATTGATACTACTATGCCATGAAAACGGAGCACAGTACAATCACGTGAAGCCTAGTGCCATGAATCAAGTGCCACAAGGCAAAACAATAAAAAGAACGATAATATCTGTAGAGTAACAATTAAAGATTCAGAGGAACAGAAAAAGATTCTGGTCCTAAACAAAAGCCAATTAGCACGGCAACGTGGGCTTGGCATGTCACTGTTTTTTGTCATGTTTTTGTGTCGCCGTGTTCACTTGTTATATACTGTGGCCCCACCATCTCACCTGCTCGCTCAAGTCTCCAATGCTGTCACAGAGGGGGGCTAGGCCTTTCACATCCATCGGCATTATACTCATGTTGAGAACATTGTACCACTGCGTACGTGGCGAATCTGCACTGAAGTCAGCTAGGCTGATCTGTGCACAGCCCTGAATGCGAAAAATGCCATGATTATACCACAAATAACATAACGAATTAGGTCTACCTATGCAGTGCTCCACTCCACAACAGAACAACCTATAGTGGAGCAAAGGACTACACATGCAGAGCTAGATAATACGGGGAAGAATAGTAAGGTAATAATGCCTGATTATCTTGCTTCGGATTATATCGCTAATTATCTTGCTGTGTGATTACAGTGCAGACCTTGATACTCCTGTAATAGGAACTGGTCTAGAGTGACGGTTCTACTTCGCAACGACTGTACTATAATTTCTATTTACTTCGTCTGCTGCAGCTATTTGCAGCGAGCGAACATCGTATAAGTGTAACCAACTTGCATCGATAGATGGCAGCACACGTTCACCACGTATGTATGCATACTGGGCGCGAGAGAGCGTACTGCTATATATAGACACGGACATGCCATTTAAATCCACACGCGCCAGACCCGTAGTGAATCTTCCTCGAGAAATGCCAGAGTGGGAGGGGGCATATCGTTAGATATCGCTGCGTGCGACGTCATAATTAGTTTAGCATTTCCCATATTACATAAGCAGTCGCTTCCTGTCTTCGGAATCAACAACTGATCTGCGGAACCGATAAAAACTGCACACCCGGAGGATTCCGCGGGATAAAAATTCGCTCAGTATTTAAGACACGTGCCCACCAGATGGCAGTGATCATGCAGTGGGCCACCGTGTCTCAGCTTTACCCGTTATCCTCGTACGCATCAGCTCGGTTAGCTTTCAATCTGGAGAAACCGCTACCGGACTATTTGTGATTGCAGAGGTTGCAGTTGTTGCTGTCTCTTCATTGAGCACGTTCAGGGACCACACACCCTATCTCTCTCCCCCTCTCCCCTTCATCCTCCCTCTGCCTCCCTAACACATGATAAACCACACTTACAACATGCTCGTCTTCAATGAGTGCATTCACCGACCATACACTTTCTCTTCCCCCATCTCCTCTCATTCCATTTCATCTTCTCTCCCTTTCCCCTCTCTCTCCTTCGCTAACATGACAGACGACACTTACCACAGCCTCCTCTTCCTTGAGCTTGTTCACCGACCCCCTTCTCCTTCTTTTTTTTCTCCCCCTCTCTCCCCCTCCCTAACACGACAGAAGACACTTACGACAGCTTCCTCTTCCTTGAGCTCGTTCACCGACCACACGCCGAGCTGCAGGGTCTTCGTGTAGACCTTTGCGAGCGGCATGGAGAAGTTGAACACCTGGTTGAAGGTGGGCGCGGAGAGGTCGGGCTGGCACGGCGTGCGCGCGCTCGCCGGCTGCTGGCCTGGCGTGAACGGCAGCAGCATCACCTTCACGTACCTGCGCAACGTAGAGTGACACGTGTGAGGTGTCATCACACATAACCGTGTGGGGGGGTCACAGGGGTGTAGGTGTCACAGGGTTGTCACAGGGTTGGGGGTGTCACAGGGGTGGGGGGTGTCACAGGGTTGATACAGGGGTGGGGTGTCACAGGGTTGTCACAGGGGTGGGTGTGTCACAGGGGTGGGTGTGTCACAGGGGTGGGTGTGTCACAGGCAGATGACATACATGAGACATGCGAGGCGGCAGACCACTCTCACTCGAGACGGACGACTTACATTCAAGACACGCGAGGCAGACGACTCACACTCAAGACACACGGGGGAGACGACTTACACTCGAGACACGTGAGGCAAGCAACTTACACTCGATACACACAAGGCAGGCGACTTACACTCGAAACACGCGAGGCAAACTTACACTTGAGGCACGTGATGCAAGCGACTTACACTTGAGACACGTGAGGCAAGCGACTTACACTCAAGACACACGAGGCAAACTTACAATTGAGACACGCGCCAGACTTACACTTCGCAGTTCTCGGCGACGGCGAGACCAGAGAGGTTGCGCGCCTGCTCGATTCCCACCAGCAGGTGGCTCTGCTGCTGCGCATACTCGAGGCTGATTTCCAGCTGCGCACAGTCTAGGCTGAAGTAGTCCTCGAGCTCATCAGTCCTGCAGCACATACACACACACACGGACACATTAACCACCGTGAAGCAGCACATACATACGTACTGACATGCATTTGCTATCACTGCGCGTGTAGATACGACTTCTTATTCATTGTTCCCATTCAAAGTTAGGCTGAATACCGGTCCGCTATAAGCACACCCCCATTCCCATCATGAAAGATAGATTGCGACGACTTGCATTACTGACTAGTAGTAGCTACTAGTAGGTTAGCTAAACAATGGTAGCTGTGTTTCGTCCGTCTGAATATTAGCTGCAAGGTTAGCTTATTTTAGATAACGGCTGGCTGTATGACATACTGGTTTATTCTAAATAAATGAGCAAGGGAATCTATTACATATCATGGCACTACCATGTTCACCTCTCAATGCTGAGGTAAAACAAATACGTCAAGGAAACATACCTTCTTGTATCTAACAAGCGATTTATAAACACAGATAAAGACCACGCCCTTGGACAGAATAACCCTCCCAGCCTGGTAAAAATGCCAGACCGAACTAGCCAATCAGCCCTGCGATAAGGACATTCTAAAATCCCTGCTTAGTAACAAAGTGCCACAAAGTTGACAATTTGGCGTCAAAAAAACATTTGTAAACCCGTGAAGCTTGATCGACCGACCAACAACATCAAAGCAAGGATGGATTCTCTCGCTCAGATACAGAACAATACAGAACAGAGTGACCGGTGGCCGACGTACCGTTTGTTCGACGCCTCGAACACGCCGCTGTCTCCGGCCATTGACTCGTCGCTGACCGCCGCCGACACGCTGCCTCGCGTGTTGCGCGTGCTGCCCCCTCGGCCGTCGTCTGTCAGGCTCTCGCTGATCGGACTCAGTGGCGGGTTGCTAAGCACCTCGCTTCCCGAGTCGTACGTCGAGCGCGAGCGTGCGCCGCCCTCCGCCGCGTCCGCCACCGCCGCCGCCGCCGCCGTCATCGTCGTCGTCGTCGTGGCAACGATCAGCGGCCGCACGCGCGTGCCGACGTCGGCAAGATGCAGCTCCTGCCCGCCGAGCCGCAGGTCGAGCAGACGGCCGTCGCTACCGGCGACCCCGTTGCCGCCGGCGACGAGCTGCATCTCATCGAGGTTCGCTGCCGCCGCCGCCGCCGCAGCTGCGTCGTCAAAGTTTGTGGCGCCGCCACTAGGGGACGCACGTCGCTGCTGGTGCTGCGCGTAGCTGGGCGGCGGGCCGGCCTCGTACGGCGATGCCGGCGGCGAGATGGACGAGAGCGAGGAGCGCGGCGAGAGCCGGACGGGGGGGTCGGGCGCCGGGGCGTCCTGCTCGAGGATCGGCAGGATGGCCGGGAGCCGGGAGTCGCGCAGCAGCAGCTTCTCGACGCGGCGGTGCAGGTCCTGCAGCGAGTCGCCGAGCGACGACGCCGACGACGACGGCGGCGGCGCCCCCTGCTGGTAGATGTCGGTGTAGCTGAGCGAGTTGAGCGAGCCCTTGCTGCTCGTCGACAGTGAGCCGGAGGTGCTGAGGCTCCCCCTGCTGGAACTCGACGAAGATATTGAGAGAGTGCTGATCGAGAGACTCTTCAGGCGACTCTCCAGCTGAGTCATCATCTTGGTGGCGCCATCGAGCTGCAGGAACAGAGATGAGCGGTCCTCCTGCATCTGGATTCTGAAGTAGAAACGAGGGTGGTCTTATCAGCCAGGCAATCTAGAGAGAACATTAGGCTAAGACTTCTTAGGGCTAGTAGCTTAATCCTACTTGTTTTGTGATATGTCCATATAACCGTAGCAAGTGAAATATGGCTAGCCTGGATTTACCTACATATGAGCTACAGATGTCGCAGTCCAACTAGTCGTACTTACCTGTCACCCATGGCTAGCTGTACATACCTATTAGCTATGGCTACACACCTGCCTGTCAGCTATGGCTAGCTACACACCTGCCTGTCAACTATGGCTAGCTGCACACCTGCCTGTCAACTATGGCTAGCTGCACACCTACCTGTCAGCTATGGCTAGTTGTATATACCTGTCAGCTATGGCTAGTTGTATATACCTGTCTGTTATGGCTAGTTGTATATACCTGTCTGCTAT